TTCTTCAATAAACCTCTCATGTGAGTTTGTTGTATGGTGTGACTTTATCTCCCTCCGCAGACTACAACATTATAACAATTGTTATTTTTATTATTCTTGTTATGAAATATTGCCTTAATTAATCATGTCAGTTAATATACTTTATTTAACAGATCAATGTATTTTGAAACTATCTATTGGGTGCTTGAAAATTATGTATATGGTCGTACTGATAGATGTCAACTGTTATTAGATGCTTGTTTCCATTGTTAGCACCTGATTTGGAAAAAGCAACTACTGTTGACCATGATCAAATAACATTACTAGAGCATGGGGAAGCTCAGAATTTGGAAGCTAGATGGAGTATCAGAAGATCAGTGTATGCGATTAATGCTTATCATCAGGAAAACATGCTTCTGTGTATTTCCTTCTGTTGATCACAGTGCAAGCCTTTGACTACAGTCCTTCCTTGTCTTGAATGACTCACCATAGGGTGTAATTCTGAATTTGCTTTCACCCCAAATTGTGGATGAGCATGAGCAAATTTATTACGTAAAGCTCAGCCTGAATATGTTATTAGAGCTTTCCAATTAGGCAACGCTCCTTATCACATGCTCTTTCCTTCTCTGTTTAATGTTACTTGAGTACCACTTGGTGCCGGTTGAGGTTTGTACTCCTATTTTTATTTATACTTTACATTGGCTCTTGTTACTGTGAAATTTGAAAAGGCCTCTTTACACAGCAGGAACCAAAGCTGATACTTGCACTGATTGACCCAACCTTTAACATAGTATTCCTAAGAATGGCCTTTAATCCTTGACGAAAGGTCATGTAATGATGATAAGTTCATGATTACAAACAAAAAGGAGGTTAATGTAAGTTTCTACGTCTTATTGAAGATATTAGTACTAAGATAATTTTACAGCCAACAAAACAGGGCAGTGAATAAAGTTGATTACTGCTAAGCCTAACCACCTGGGTTAGTTCCCCAGAACCCACATGATAGACATGAAGAACCAACTTCAGCAAGGTTGTTGCTGACTTCCAACAACAGCAAGTCCTCTGACTTCCACATGGGTAATATGAGTCTCTCTCTCTCTCTCTCTCTCTCTCTCTCTCTCTCTCTCTCTCTCTCTCTCTCTCTCACTCTCTCTGTCTCTCTCCACTGTGACTCCTGTTCCAGAGAATATAATGCTCTTTTCTGACCACCGCAGGGACCACTCATACACGTGACAAACAGACTTGAAGGCAAAACATTCATATAATAAAAATAAATACAGATACATTTTTTTTAAAAAATGTATTTAAAAAAAGAACTTTATTACTCCAAATTTAATTTAAAATCTATTACCTAAGACCAATGAAAATCTTATACTGTGGTAAATAGGACAATTTTTTTTTTAAAGTGGCTTCCATTTGTAACATATATTGGAAGTTTCTATGATCGCATGATAAAAGGATGCAGTAGTTACAATCTACACTTAAAACTAATAGAGATATGTGCATGATGAACCACTAACTTCCAATGTGCAACTTTATATTTCAACATTGAAGTTTAATTACTGGGAGACTTATTTTTATTACATTCATCTTGTTCTTTGTTTGGGGTACAATCCACGGTACTGGTAGAGAGCAGAAGGCAGGTTATGAAAGCCGCTTCTCTCTGTCCCCTGTGTGGGCACCAGGGATTGAACTCAGGTCCTCAGGCTTGGCAGCATATGTCTTTACCTGCTTAGCCTTCTTCTCAGCCCCGGACATCCTATTCTTACCTCTATTTTAAAGAAACTACTCTTGAAAATCTGTTTATAACAACCTATTTTCCACACAAATATGAGCAATATCTTTATAGTTTCTATTTGGGGTTAGATAAAGTCATTTACCACATGCACACCAAAGTAAGCTAAATCCATAGTCTCTTTAGTAACATGATTGTGTATTTAAGACTCCTATTGGCACAACACACATATAACTAGTGAACTATTTGAATAGTGAATTAGAATATAATAGCTTTAAATACAGGACCTAAACTCGCTTGAAAGAATAGGTAAAAAGCACGGAGAAAAGGAAGTAATAGTAGAAGAATCAGAAGAAATTATAAATTTTCAAATGTCAAATATAAAATCATTTGTATGTTGCATTTAACAAATGGGATTGTTGTAAAAAAAAAAAAAGGCCACAACACAAAGGCATAATATCACACATTCTTTCTTAACAAAATGAACCATAAATATAACATCTACTTTTTGAAAACATACATCTTTATGCTATTAGGAGACAGTACCTTTATGTAGAAACAACATTGTAGGCATGTGGGGACTCTGGAAAATTCATGCTCTGTTGAAAATTCACAATTATTTGTTGAATTAGAGGTATTTTGATTATTTATTGCAATGCGGTTTCTTTTTGCTTAGTTCTGTTCTCATTCCCTGCACTAAGAAAGATCACAGAGTAAGAAGTGCTAGACCTCTGCTTGTCAAGCAAGCAGGCTCTTCATTGACCGTGGATCTCATGAAATGCTTATCCTAGTCTGCCTTCTCTTGCTGTGATCAACACCATAACCAAGAGAACCTTGGGGAGGACGGGGTTTATTTCAGCTTACAGTGGTAGTTGGTCATGGAGGGAAGTCAGGGTGAAACCACGAGGCAGAAACCTGGAGGCTGATGTCAAAGCAGAGGCATTACAGGGACCTGATTTGCTCCTCATGGCTTGCTCAGCATGCTTTCTTTACACCCATGACTACCTGCCCAAGGGTGGTATCACCCTCAGTTGGCTGGGTCCTCTCACATCAATCATTCCTAAAGAAAATGCATCTCAGGCTTGCCTAGCTGATGGAGACATTTTCTCAATTGCAGTTCCCTATTGTCAGATGACCCTCACTTTGTCAAGTTGGCCAAAAAACTAGCCAGCATAAGGCTCAAAGGTAAAACATAAACAAATGATAAATCATTGCTTTCATTTGATTATTTGCAAGTTTGGTATATTACATACTCTAAAATAATTATAATTGGAAAATGATTTTGAAATAATGGGACACTACAGGAGTCTAATGTTAGCTGAATTCATAAGCTATCACACATTGAGCTTTATTATGACCACATGTGAGAAGACACAATACTAATATGCTTGCACAATCAGTGACTAGTGTGGAGGCCCCATTCTGTATTTTCTTACTTTTCCCTGGGTAGATGAAACATCCTTCCCTCTCATATCCTACTTGATTTAATTTCCCACTCACCCCTCCTCATCTCCCAGCCTATTTACACCGAGGTCTGCTTTAATAAACATGGTAGATAGGTGCAAAAATTATCCTACTCAGTGGAAACTTCATAAAGTTTTGTATTTTAAAGAATCGTAGATGTTTAAGTAGAAATTTCTGAAGTTTTTTTGATTCCATAGATTAACAAAATAACAGATAAGTAACAAAGCTCAAGTCAGAAAGTCATGAAGGTTTCAGTATAATTTGAAAGTCGCCACATTTCATTAGGACATAAACACCCAGCTGGGACACCCCAGTGGAGGATGCATTGGAGTTTGTCATGCGTTGCTCTGCCTATGTATCTTCGTGCAAGCTTGCCAAAATTGCTCTACTTCCTGATGCTGTTCTTCTCTTTTGTCTCTCTGCTTTGCTCTTTTCCACTCTTTTTAGAGACAATGAGAAGAACAATTATCTTTCCCCTTTCTGTTTGGAGCTTTCCCAGTTTCACTCTCTTTAGTCTTTGAATAATTTTACGATTGCTGCCTTTGGATTCACAGCCTAAAAAGGCTTACTACTGGAGTAAATCGAAAATTGATGCCGATTAAATAATTGGCATGAGTTTTCTTGGACTTTTACAAGAATAAATAAGATATCATATGTATTTCTGCAGTAAACTATCAAATCTTCTCCAACAGGATAGCATAAAGGACATCAAAATAATGTCTGGGTTATTTCCCTTCCCACAACTAGCCTAAGGGCAGGCTATTCAACTGGCTCTATTGTAATTGTAATTGACAATGCCCACCTGCTCCCATGTATTACCTTTCATTTCCTGCCACGGTGTCTGACATTGTTATTAAAAGTACAGTGGGAACAGAGGCAACAAACGCGTGTGTGTACACATAATGAGCAGTCCAAAATAACATTTGTCATTTATATATTAACATAAAGTTGGTAGCTGCCAGAGAAAAATAAAACATAGCAGATTGCTCTGAATGGAAGAATTATCGTCTTTGTGTGTTAAAGATGTTTTCCCAGGAAACTCAGGTTTATCATCTAATTAATGTTTCTGAGAACACAGGAGTGGATTCAGTGTTAAGTTAGCTTAGATTCCTGGAAAAAGATGACACACTTGTGCAATCTGATGGAAAACAGCACATTAAATAGTATGATTTTTAAAAAATGATACACATCTTTATGAAAAAGCTTTATGCAATTAAAAAATCTCAGGCTTAGTTTTATACACGACGTTCTTTTTGTGCAGTTAACATTATGTGTAGGTGAATGATTCAAGTGTGCTTGTTTACAAGTTGGAGCTCACTGTGAACTTGATATAACAGGACCCTTTTCTTTGTCAAAGTCCTCTTAAGAGCATCCCTGGGACAAGGAAGATCAAAAACACCGAGAGAACTGCTAAAAACCATGACATTGCTTCCGGCTTATCCAGTCTTTCATTGAGCAAGTGATGTATTGGACAATAAACACTGCACAAGTTTGTAGATTTGGCGATGGGAGTTGAAGCTGAGAGCTTTAAAACAAAACATAATTAAAATGATTTTTTTAAAATCCTGGGATCTCCAACTCCACGAAGCTTATCATAAACTAAATAGGGAACAGTCACATGACTTAAAAAAAATCTGTTTCCGAGTGATGATGAGCATTATAAGCTTTCAAATATTCTTCCTGCGCTCAGATATTTTTAATTTTTTTTTTTCCCCAGACAAGTTTCTGCAGCAGGGACTCCCTCCTACAGCCCTGAGAACGGAGGAGCAGAACTCTAAATCAGGTGCCTTTCTGCAACCAAATGAGACAGAGCAAAGTTTGGATCTGATGTATGGGGCAAGGCTGAATGGTTTCCTGGTGCTCAGTTCTTTCCCTCACAGTCCCTGATTCGGCAGCCTCCTTTCCCTAGCATGCTGTGCGGTCACAGAGTCCCGGGAGCCGAGGTCCCAGGGAAGGCGGAGGCGCAGACGCTGCCACAGCTTCTAGTTTTTCGGCTGGGCTCGCCGAACGGGAGAGTCAAGTCCAACCATGCCAATCCCAACGCAGATTTTAAGCCTGGATCTGGTCTTCTGGATAGCGCCGGCTGAACCCATCAGAAGCCCAGTCAAGGGGCCGCCCCTCACCTCCTGGAGAGTTGATATGCAAAACAGTTACGTCAGATGTGGAGGCGGGGCACACCGGGGTTGACAAGCAGCCCGGCTCTTGCCGAGGGAGGAGGCGCGAGAATCAGCCTGGTTCAGCGACTGAGACAAACTGGACGTGAGCGGAGCTGGTGCTGTCCACAGTGTGTCGGTGCTGAACCCGGGGTGTGAGCGGATAGCCAGCTTGGGCACCTGGAGGCAACGCCCACTGGAACCCTCTGTGCCTGGTGGGACCCGCTTCACCAGCAGGACCCAATTTAACTTGACAAAGGAGTGCGACTCGGACGTGGGAGAGACTCCTGTGTTTGCAACCTGGGCGCCCACTCAGGCGTGACTTCAGAGATTTCTGTAGTTTTTGCTCAAAGTATTTTGATTTTTTTTTTTCCAAACTAAGACGATCTTTTCATCCATTATTTTCTTCTTCTTTTTTTTTTATTTTTAAAACTGTGACTCATATTTCCACACCGCTGAGGAATCTTTTCGGGGGACTTTTTTATTATTTAAAATAAGGTAAGAATAGAATATTGTTATAAATGATTGCAAGTGGGTGAGAAATACAGACAGCTATGAAAAATTTAAAAATAAGTTATGTTGATTTCTATAATTTGAGACAGTACTTTGGTAATAATTATACAAAAATGAATAATTTGGTACAACATGAGATGTTCTAATAATACTGAAGACAGTGATTATTAAAGTATTAGGGAAGTTGAGAGCTGTTTGTTTTTGTGAAGTTAATGTTATGATACACCTCTCTTTGTCAATAAGAGCATTTTAGATGAACACTTCTAGGGTGGCTTGGGTTAGTAAACGTTCAATATCAAGCCCCCATATATGTGTAAGGATGCCATAGAATTCTCCAAGTTCTTTAATATGAATGTAATTTAAAAACATATTTGAATGACCTACTATCAGGTTAATAAATAATATTTCCCATGTCCAAAAAAATGGACTGCAAAGTGCTGAGCTTGTTGGCATGTTTTGGAGGGGAGACTGGAGGGAAAGGAATCTTTCTGCCATGCTGGCTTCATTTACATATGTTGTTGTGCTGTGGATGCAAATAAAACTACTGAAACTCGGTCTGTAAGAAATTCATATCCAAGGTCGTGTGAATTTCCAAGTTGGGGACTGTTTGTTCTGTTATTGACTAATAGATGTCATCCCTCCCCACCCCCTCAGTTCAGAGGTGAATGTAAATGAGGTTTACTGATTTAATAATATAGTATTAGCTTACATTATAAATTCTTGACTGCTATGGTGATTGAATGGGGCAGGCAAGCTTAGGGTTGAGAAGACGTCTTGCTGTTTCATCAGTTTTTAACCTCTTGCATGCTTAACAGAGAGCATTTCTCTACTTAGATTTTCATTTGAAGCTATGTTCCTTTTCGTCGTTTGGCAGTGTGATCTGAGTGTGTTTTGAAAGGAGAACTCAGTGTGGATAAGCACTGAACAAGACTATTCATAGTGAGCAACCACTAAACAGTGAAAGTTACTTGGTGTTCCCATATCTCTTGCTATTGTTCATGCATGTATTATATAGATGTGAGGTTTGTCTTAGAAATGGTATTGTGATCTTCCATTTATGTCATGCAGTGACATTAGATGAAGGAGAAATAATGCCTGGTAAAAGGCAGAGCTTGCTTCTTTACATTTCAGAGATAGAGTTCAGGTTGCAAGTAGATGTCTTGTGTTAATTGGAATAGGTGAACTGTAATGCTTCATGCTTAACTCTCTGAACTCACTAAGGGTATGCTGTGCAGACCATCAGGGTGTAGTAAGTAAAGTTCATGTATTTGGATTTTACAATGTCTTAGACTTTTGAACTATAGTTACTGGGATGAAGTTTTGGTGCATATGATTATAGCTCATTCATCTTCGTAGAGATTTTTCATTTTATTTACATCAAAGCTTCTAAGGAAGATTTGCTATGAGAAATGTATATTGCTGCAGATTCTCCCAAGCAAAAGTAAATCCTCTTAAGTTGTTCCCTGCTTCTCCCTTAATAAATGTTCTTTGTAGGATTCATGTTAGTCATGTGATCTTGTGTTTAAATATTCATAAATAAAATTTTGAACACGTAGGCACAATAGATAATAAATAAGACATATGAAGTAGTCAGGAAGTTTTGATACATATTTCTGTTTTATATAATTGTTCATTACTACTTATCAAAGTTTTTTTTTAATTAATTACAGTGAAATAGACATCCAGACTTCGGAATTTCAAGCAGAATGATGGTTGTTTTCCAATTTATTAATCTTGAGACATTCATACAAACCTTAATTATACAAATTGTTTAAAAGGCAGTCACACATGAACCTTACATTTATTTCATTGTTTTTGGGATACCATTGGTTTCCATCTCCAGAAAGTTTTCTCTTCTTATTCAGATGTAAATTTTCACCAATATCTTGTATTCTTACAAATGAAGTTATTGATATCACAATGAGATATTTAAATACAAGTTAAATATGTTCATAGTAATTGCATCATTCTAGGTCACTGATAATTTAATTCAGTGGACAAATTAATGCACCCCTGATTTTATACACATTTGGTTTTTGTATCTTAGCTATGAGGTAAGATAATTGGGTTCACATAGTGAGTCCAAAGTTTGCGTTTAGAAAATCCTATTTCAATGGAGAATAAGATACACACTGTAAAATAATAAAATTGCCAGACTTAAAGAAACTGAGAAGACAGTTAAATGTGGTAATTCATTAGTTGTTCTTCCAGAAAAACAATAGTACAATGAATTTTAATTTATTCATGAAAATAAAAAGCAATATTTGAAAGCAAAACACTAGATATATTATTAAAATAATAATTTATGTCATTACAGAAACTATGCAAATGCACCATTGCTTCCTTTGGCAAGTGTATAAATTACTGCAATAATTTAATTATACATCATATCACTTGTGTAAGTTGTTTTCAACATTTTAAAGCACACTGAGGTAAAATTAAATAAAAAGGAGATTGCTACATGTATTTATTTTATTTTTTTTTCAAACAGATACATCAAACTTGTATGTATATCTTTTGAGATTGAATGTAAGGATTATGTTCATAAGGGTTATCAATGAGACCTCAAAGTCTTAGCTCGTATGTACTGTTAGTCCTTCATATTTGGTCAAATGACTGTACTTATGGTAGCACACATAATAATATCAAGCTCAAAAAATTTGATGAGAACTAGTAGGTCAGGAAAAGCACTTTCTATAGTTATAACCCTTTTAACAGCCAGGTGGCCAATTATTCCTTCCAAACAATCTTAATCATCCTTTGATTCAGGGCAACCAATGTCCTTTGGGTATAGTTTCCTTAAGGTGACCTAGATGGTCCCTTGTGGAAAGATGCCAGTTTTCCAATGTAATCAGTAATAAACAACCAAGTAATTGATCCCTTTGTGCTTTAAATCATCTTGTTTTCACCAATTACTGTTGTTATAAGGGTTGGAACAGTGTTTTGATGATCTCAGGGTTCTTGTGTGTCTTAACAGGAGTCTTCTGAAAGAGAAAGATTTAAACAATGTCATTGGGGGTTATTTTAATGAGAGTCACTCTGTGTGTGTGTGTGTGTGTGTGTGTGTGTGTGTGTGTGTGTGTGTGTGTGTGTGTGTGTGTGTTTACATCTTTGATGGACTACGATAACTATGCCAAGAAAGATGTGGGTTCAAGACACACCAGTTAATATAGAAGTAATGAAAATAATGGGCCGTAATACAATGTGTGCTTTTGGTTGGCAAATTTTTCTTCTAATATCTATCATTTTATTTAGACTGGTTTACTTGAGGACACATGGGTTTAGGGAGGGGGGTTGTTCACTTATTTGGTCTTTGATAAAAAGGTTCTTCAAAGGCTCTTAGAGTAGATGGCAATTGAAAATTAAACTTTGTAGGAATAAGAAAACAGAAAGGATGTATGCACAGTGTGGAAGTTGTACAGACATCTGAGAAAATACACTTGATAAAGAATTTGAAAATTACTGCATGTAAAAGGAATAGTTTTAAAAGAAAATGAATTTCTTTATCTTTTGATAATGAATCATATATTTCTAAAGAAAAGTAGCTTTTGCTTTCCAACCATGTAAATCTATAAGTAAAGATGTTGCTTAGTGAGTTCATTTGTGTGTCAACACTGAAAATATTATTCTAACTCATAACTAGCTCACAGCACTGGCAGCAATTCTAAAACATAATGCAGAAGACTTAGAAATACTTTGTCACTGAGTTTTATTTCAATGTACTTATTATGATTGACAGTTAAGGCAAACATACTTTACAGATATATGTTCCTAGCTAAGTAACGCCAAGGTAGCAATTAAAACATATGCACAAACCACATTCTTCATGAATGCTACGATGAAAACATTTTACCTTTGCTTTCATAGCTAGATCATTTCCAGCACATTCGATATTGTTTTAAAAAACTCAAAGACCTTTTTTTTTAGTCTATAAAAATCCTATAATTTCTTTATGTACATGAAAGGTCCATGCCTCATGCTCTCTGTGATCATGTACTCTTAATTTTCTGAAATCCGTAGTCTTAGCCACAAGCCAGCATCAATTAGGGCCTGAGCTATCTCACTGGGGAATAAGGAGGTCAGCCCTCCAGGTTTCTAAGGCAAAGCTTCAGAGATGCTAAAGGCAGTTTCATTTGCTGCTCCACCATGGCCTACCTGTTGATATTTAAACGTGTGGTTTTGCAGCCAGGATTTGCTTATTCATGTCTGAAAACACACACACACACACACACACACACACACACACACACACACACACACACACACACACACGAAACCATCAAGATTTTTAATAGATATATACTGTTCTTTAACTTAGGTCATTTTTAATCATCATTTAACACTTAAGTAATCTTGTGAAGGTTGTTACTATTGCCACTTTACATGTAAACCCCAAAACTCATATCAAACATTTCCAAGATCTTTTTATAAAAACTGAGAGAATTACTTCCTGTAAAAGAAATACCTACATAGGAGAAAGGTTTCTTCCATATCATCTGGTAATGAGCCATAAACTTCATGTGTATGAATATCCATATCCATGAAATGTATTCGCTCCTTGCATGTGATTATTTTGGGGTACAGATCTGGTAAATTTTGGGAAGATGAGTAGCTTTACCCTGAGCTAGGATCTTCAGAACAAAACAGGCTCTCCTCCAGACCACTGTACATGTCTAGCTGTCAGCTATGGTCACTTGTTCAGCTGGCATGTTTGTTCCTGTTTTACACTTTTTGCTACAGTGAATGACTCTCGTTATTTCCTTAAGGTATTTAATTGTTAAAATATATTGAAATTATTATCAACATTACTAGTGAGTATGCATACTTTTCAGTGCATGGTCTCAATTGGCTAGCAGAAATTTTCCTCCATACAATGTTATTAAGAATGCTGCATTGCCGGGCGGTGGTGGCGCACGCCTTTAATCCCAGCACTCGGGAGGCAGAGGCAGGCGGATCTCTGTGAGTTCGAGGCCAGCCTGGTCTAC